GAATTCATTATTGCTTTGATTATGAATATGTGTGAGTAGTCTCCTAGCTAGGGTTTCGGGATGAAACCCGGCCTAGGTAATCTATGTAATTGAGGATTGATTTTGATAAACGGATTGTGATTAAATTGATTATATGCGATTGCATGTTAATTCATTATAATAGGAGTAGCTAACCTAGAATCTTGAATTTGATTGCATGATATCCTTGATTTGAACAAGAGATTGTGAATTGAGTATTTCATTATTGAATGTGGTTTGATTATGTATCGAGTAATGTTAAGTGCATGAGAAATCCAAGCTTAGTATTGCCCGTTGTCTTCCTATCACATGATATTGATCAGACATATAGTCTTTGCATATCCCGTTTGTCTCTGTGATTCCTTGTTGTGTAGTTACCGATGGTTTGGTGAATTCCCGTTCTCCCTAGTGTCTTAGTTTATTGATTTATTCCATCTTATTAGTAGTATTTTAGAACACCATTTTTCCATTGATTTCGAACTAGCTTAGGTTTAAGATTGATTCGCAATTACTCTCGTTCCTCGTGGACCGAACCTTTATTTGCCATTGTACTTGGTTATAGGGTGTTCGTATAAGTATTGTTTGATTGAGAGTTAGATTGTAGCGACCGATTTAACCCTTGTCAGGGTGTCGGAAATCTTTTGTTAAATTTAGTCCTAATTCTCCATAAGGATTACCTTGCTCAAAATCTTCATCTTCTAGCAGAGTCTTCTTTAGGCACTTATCAAAGACTTCCTGTAGACCTGGGACAGAGTAAGGTTTCCGAATTTGGTTCTATGATTGACAAGGTTGTTAGTCGGTTATCTTCTTTTGTGACTCTTCACCTCTCGGCAACAGCAAAATTGGTGATCATAAATTCTGTCCTTGTGGCATCCTTTAATCATATCCACTCGGTGTTTAAGTTCCGGCTACAATCACTGACAAGATAGATTCTTCTCTCTCGGTTCTGGTGGTGTTCTTCTGGTTCGGGTAGGGGCATGGCTATTCATCCTATTTCTTTGTTACACTTGCCTGAAGGTCTAGGGGGTCTGGGCCTTCGAAGTATGGTGTGTTTTGATTATGCTCTTTTGGCTAGACAAGGTTGGCGGATGATGCATAACCCTCAGTTGTTGGTATCTCGGCTTATGTTTGCAAAGTATCCTTCTCCTCTTCCTCGGAATTTGGTTGGACCTTATCATCCCTCTTGGTCCCGTCGTAGCCTGCATCATTGTCTTTCCACAGTGGCCAAGGGGCTGGCTTGGAAAATGGGTAATGGTTCGCATGTTAGGGTATTTTTCGATGACTGGGTTCTGGGGAGCCCTATTCTGGTTAAGCCTGGTGTCTCGAAATTGCTAGATTCTCCAATTCTTGTTTCAGATCTTCTTGATCTGCGTTCTTCGCGTAAGATTCCTCTATGGTCTATCGGTTGTTTGTTACGTCTACGGTTTGTCGGATTTTGGCTCTTGAGCGTCCTCAACAGCTAATGGATGATATTGTCTACTGCAAGTATACTCGGGATGGATTGTTTTCTACAAAATCGGTGTATGCCCTCCTAATTCAACAACGTGTTTCCTCTGTGGCTTCAACTCCTGGTCCTCGTTGGTGGGGAAAGTTTTGGGGCCTTCCCCTTCTTCCCAAGTGGAAGGTTTTTTGGATGGAAGTTGCTTCATGATGCTTTCCCGCTTGCTCCTACGCTTGTTCTCCGGGGTCTTCATGTTAATCCCATACCAGGTAGAAGAGACTATTACTCATCTATTTAGGGATTGCTCATTTACTAGTCATCTTTGGGTTTGTGGTGAGCTTGGCCTCCAGCTTTAGGGTCCCCATGATCAATCGCTTTCTCAATGGTTTGTTAGCTTGCCTTTTGGTTTAGTGGCGTCTAAGAATTGGGGGGTCTATCTTGCTTCTTTACATTTCTCTGGGCAATTTAACTGATGGCTAGGAATGAGGTTCAATTTCGTTCTTTGTCGGTTTCCCCGAACTCAGTGTTGTCCGTTGCAGCAACCTAGAGAACCACGGGATTGCAAGCTCTTGACTTTTGTCGGACGAGTATTCCTTTTGTTCGTCAGTCATCGAGGGCTTTGTTATGTTTGTCTTGGCTGGTTGGGGATAGTTCAGACTGCCCTTTGATATTAGTTTGGTGTGTGACGAGTCCTGGTCTTCCTCTGATAATCTAGTTGGGGTAGGTTGGGTTTTTCGGAAACCTGGTGTAGATACAGTTTGTGGGTGGAGGGGTTAGAGCTACTTATGCAGCTTCTGCGTTGCATTATGAGGTCCAAGCTTATCTTTTTCGTTTGTTGTTCTCACTGTAAATTAAAAAAAAAACCCCTTTGTTAGTACCAAAAAATATTGCTGCCAAAAAAAAAGAAACCAAATAAAATTCGTTATTACAAAATTTCCAAAAAAGCCACTTGATACAATTATGAACTAGTCGTAAACCCGCACAATGCGCGACTATTCATTGTATTGTGAGTTTTTATTTTTTAAAAAAATAAACATCAATAAAAAAAATAAAAATATGGGATCTCAACGTCATATACAATGTGTGTGTGTGCGTGTAAACATTACTACCGAATCTTATAGTAATTGGCAATATTATAACAAGTGTTAGGTTAGATTTTTAATATACAATACACATAAAAGTCTGTCAAATTTAAACAATTTATCATCTATAATAGTTACAATTTATAAATGTTGTATTAAAAAAAAATCAAATAAAAAAAATTGTTGCACAAATCTAATTCAAATTTACAAAAATCATTCTTAAAAAAAATATCAGAAAACAAAAACGAAGTAACACAAATTAAATTTATAATTGAGATTGTAAAAAAACAAACTCAAACGTTAAACATTGTAAAATGAATTTTTTTTTTGACACAGTAAAGTAAATTAATTACGAAAACTTTTTTAAAAAACTAGATGAAATTTTGAAACACATTTTTTTTAACGGTAAACACAATTTTTTCTTCTCTTTTTTAGACAAGTAAACACAATTGTTTTAAATAAACAATTAAACACAAATGATCCAAAATTTAAAAGCATTTGAAAATAAAATTAAAATCCTATATAAATTTAATAAAAATCAGATCTGAAAAAAGTAATTATTAATAAAATTTAAAAATATTGAAAATAATGGAAAAAAAAAATTGACCATTTAACATTGAAATAGAAAAAAAAAAAAAAAAAAAAAAAAAAAAAAAAAAAAAAAAAAAACTTATACAGATTTTTATGAAAACCTACACAAATTGTAAGGAAAAATTTGTTTAAAAAATAGAATTCAAAAACAACGAATAAGTAAAAGAAATTCGAGGAAAAAAAAAAACCAAAGTGTAAATAAAGTGTAGATCGAGAAAATACCTTTGAATGCTCCTGTAAATTCAATACCACCATTAGGTTTTGATATTTGTATACAACATGAAAATAATTCTTTTTTAATTGATATAAATTATAGACTTTGGGTGAAAGAGATGAATGGTAAAATCAGTGAAAGAGAGGGAAGGTAAAATATTATTAATTTTTTTGTGTAACTGAAAATTTATATAATGAATGTACATATGAAAATTGATATTTTAAAAGGATTGTAATCATTTAGGATAAAGATGAGATTTTTTTTTTTTGTAATTAATTTTTTTTAAACATTTTAGTTGAAACTTAAAAAAAATAAAATAATAAAATAAAAAAAATGCAAAAACAGGAATATGACTAGTGTCCTTTAAACTTCCTGTTTTAAAATAACTAGTTTTGGCCACGTGCAATGCATGGATTTAACTTTTAAAATAAGATTTATTATTGTGGATTGCTAAACACCGCCAACAAAAATGATCACCACCGCCAACATTTGATGTGAATGGACAATCATATCCTTACTACTTCACCATCCCTTCATCCTTCCGGCAACCCACAACCCCTTCCAACCGGCGATCACAACCCCTTTTGACTGACGACCCACCACACCCCCTTCTATGACAACCCACCACCTTCCCTGGTCGGCGTGAAGGTGATGGTTTTTTTTTTTATTTTAGGCAACCGTGGTAACCGGAGCCCAAAACCGGTTACCGGAACCCAAAACTGGTTACCGTGTGTGGTAACCGGAGCCCATGGTAACCGGTTTTGGGCTCCGGTTACCATGCACGGTAACCGGTTTTGGGCTCCGGTTACCGTGCACCTTAATCGATTCTGTGGTAACCGGAGCCCAAAACCGGTTACCATGCACGGTAATCGATTTTGGGCTTCGTTTACCATACACGGTAATTGATTTTGGGCTTTGGTTACCGCGATTGCCTGAAAATCTGAAATTTAAAAAAAAAAAAAGAGGGAAGGTGGTGGGTCGCTAGTGCGGTGGTGATCGTCGCCGTCCAGTGTGGTGGGGGTGGTGGTGGTGTTAGTCGTCAATTAGGGTGGTGGTGTCAAGGTGTTAGTGATTGATGGCAAGAGGGAAGATAGTAGTGAAGTACTAAGGACATGATTGTCCATTCACACTAAATATTGGCGATTTTGATAATTTTGGATGGCGGTATTTAACACCCCCTTAATAATAGTCAATTAAAATTAAATGACTCATGTAACATTTTTTTTTTGTTATTTTGAAATTTGAATTTATTAATGTGTTACATATATATATAAATAAATCTATACTTTTAGTATTTAAAAATAAAAACCATCATTCCTATAATACCACATGTATATTTCATTTTTTTTCTCCAATGCCACATGTCACTTCATTTAATATTTCTTTATTTAATCTCTTTTCTCAAATGAAAATAAAACTTTAATTCAATACATGTATAAATTATTGAATGTTGTTTGGTTTACTTTCCTCCCATTTAATTTCTACTACAATTGCATTCAATTTTTACCTCTTCTTCTCCTCTATAAACTATTCATTTGCCAATATAAATATATTAAAAATAATTATTTATATAATATACCTATAAATGGCTAGTTTTATTAAAAGAATTTTAATTTCTGTAATAGAATTATAAAAAAAATACGGAGTAGTATTTTGAAGCAAATTTTTTTTCACAAAATAATGCCAAATCTCCCATTTAGTGATTACTTTATAGATTTAGATAGATAGTATAGATTAGGAAGCCTCCATATTGTTCACAATCTCCTCATAATAACCCTATCTCTCTTTATACATGATCCTCCCCACCCCAACTAATTACATTTATTATGCATTTATAATTATGTCTCACTATCCCATCTAATTAATTCAACCTTGAAATGAATTCCAACACTACCATTTCCAATCCTTCAAATTAGCCAAATTTCAAATTTGACAGAAAGAATCACCCCCAAAAAAAAAAAAAAAAAAAAAAAAAAGTTGAAGATGATGAATGTGTTGCAGAGTTTCCTATTCCCACCACCACCATCAATCTTTGTGACAGCTATGTCATTCATAAGCTTTGGTTCACTCGCAAATGCAGGTTTATCTGAATTAAGGGGAAAACATTTACAATACTCCAAGTTTGTAAATTGGAATGTTCCTAATAAAATCCAACAAAAACAGATTATAATTTCTAGCAAAGTTGGGATGGCTTTTCTTTATACTCCTGCTTTTTTATTTGGGGTTGCTTCCTTTTTCATTTTCCCTGATGAAGGTTTCAGGTTTTTGTTGCTTCGTTCGGCTCTTACTATCCATTTTCTCAAGAGGGTACTTGAGGTAATTTGATTATATTGATTCATTTGGTATATTTCTTCATTACTATTTTTATATCATATGATTCCTTATGACGATTGATGTTAATCGACTCCAAATCATTTTGGGATTAAGGCTTTGTTGCGGATCTTGTTGTTGTTGTATTGATTTTAGTTTATTATTATTATTATTATTATTATTATTATTATTATTATTATTATTATTATTATTCTCATGTAAAATTGTTAGAATTTCATATTTATATTTCTTTTTTGGTTATTAAACAATATAGTACTACAGAAGTTTTTGCATATTATAAGGGTATCATCTGAAATATGTGATGAGTGACTTCAGCCAAATCTTGTTACTATTATATGCCGTCCGCCCGTCCGTCTTTAATTGTTTGCCCCATAGCCCCATCTTTAATTGTTTGACCTGTAGTCATATTTTATTAAGTTTTGATGGGACCTTAAATAATTTATGTGGGATTATATAATTTATATTGGTTGGTCCCTCTATGAGCCGTATGGGAAAGGACGGCCTAAAATGGAAAATGAGCTCGAAGGAGCATAAAATATAAATAAATAATAATGAGTGCGGGTGTACAAGGGATATCCCTTAGTGTGAAGGATAGCTCAAGTGGTTAGAGCTCCCCTCCTGATTTCCAGTGATACTGGGATCGAAACTCATCACCCGCCCTTGTGGCTCTCTAAACACCAAAAAAAAAAAAAAAAAAAAAAAACAAGGGATATCCCTTGAATCTTGAATTCTCAAAGTTCAGTAACTCAATAATAAATGATCAAAGTTCTTTGATTTATGAATTGTTAAGTGGGTATATAATTGAAGTTCACATTACCCTTATTGTATCAATAATTCACCAATCACCATATTAGGTGAAATTCATAACATTAGCAGTTAGCTGTTAGTCTAATTACTAATTAATTTTTGTTGTTTTAAACATAATGTCGTTCAACAAGACAATGAATATTGGTAAGAATGTAGCCCATTTTACACAAAGGTGAGGATGTAGCCCTTGCTAGTTCACTTGTTTATGGTGATAGGAAAGCTTCATTAATTTTCCAAATTTAACTCGCAATCTGTGCTCAGTTGACTGGATGAGTCTAATGTATAATATGATCAGTATAGTTCCGCAAAGGGCTAGTATATGTCATGGAAAATATGGGATGAATTGGTCTCTCCAAGTATTAACCCTATTAGGCAGTGATGAATTAGTTTGTGATGAATCGGTCTATATTAAGTGCAGGTATGATATTTAGGAGGTTCATATAATGATGCACGTGGTATGGCATGAAGCATAGGCGACCTATGTATGTTGTAATACATTCTTTGTTACTGCATTTTAGGGAGATCAATTGACTTAAACTAAGGTGGCCTTTCAAAATTTTCAGAAAAATGTGGAATTTTGTTCATGATTTGGTATGAAGCCTAGACAAACTTGTATGTGTTCAGCCATGAGTGCATCATAATCAAAGCTCATTGTGTTCCGAGCTTCTCTGCAATAACATGGAAAATATGACTTTATTGCTGCCTCTGAAGTTTTTGCATATGATAAGGGTATCACCTGAAATATTTGCTGTAATGTTGATCGTAGTTCTTTTTTTTTATTTTTATTATTTTTATTTTTATTTTTATATATTTTTTGTATTACTCCCACTTAGATCAAAGTACACTACTCCTTTTCTCGTTTGATTAAATAAGAGTTTGCTACCCATATTGAGATTTACAAATTCCTAGAAAGTTGTATATGCTGTGATAATTCTATGTACTACATAGTAAACCTGATATGTTATACATTATGCTATTTGCTCTGAAAACTACACATATCTATTCGCTGTTGTTTGGTTCATGTCCTACTTTATGAACTAATCCAAGAAGTTCAAGTGGTTCATTTGGTTACAAAGTTGTTTTAATGCATATTGCTTACTGTTATTTTGTTAATAAACATTTGTAGAATAACTATGAGCAGCAATTATTTCTTCCCTAATAAAGGGACTAAACAGAAATTATTGGCTTGTATTCTTGTAGCTGTCATCACCCAATGCAGCGTAAAAGAGAAATCTCTTAATCTCTTTGCAGACTATTAAATCTAAATGATGTTCGTCTTGACTATTGTATCTAAATGTTGTTCGTCCTGAATTCTTGATGCTGGTAATTATAAACAATTATAAGGAAGTTATAACAGTGTTTAATTGTAATTTAACTTTAATAGCGCTTTGATTATCATATGGATTAGCTTATGCACATGTAATGCATTGGTCACTAGATTGTGAATTTTCCTGCTAATACTACATGTATTCTGCTTTGTAGGTGTTGTTTGTTCACAGATTTGGAGGTAGTGGGGTTGCTCTTCATGCCGCAATCCCAATTGCTCTTAGTTACTTCATCTCCACAGTGACAATGATTTATGCACAACACCTATCGGGACAATTGCCAGAGCCATCTATCGACCTGACATATCCTGGAGTTGGGTTGTTTCTATTGGGTATAGGTGGCAACTTGTACCACCATTACATCCTCGCTACACTGAGGGGAGAAGGTGAGAAAGAGTATAAGATACCCAAGGGCGGCTTGTTTGACTTGGTGCTTTGCCCACATTATTTGTTTGAGGTGTTGGGATTTGTTGGTATTTCTTGCATAGCTCAAACACCATATACCCTCGCTTTCACAGCCGGAACAACCTTGTATCTGCTGGGTCGGAGTTGTTCTACTAAGAAGTGGTATATGTCTAAGTTTGAGGACTTCCCTAAAGATGCCAAGGTTTTTCTTCCTTTTATTTTCTAGTTTTATTCAGGAAGCTGAGTTATGACAATTTTCTAGTTTATGTTTGCTGAATGGCAGAACAACACCACATACAACACCTCAATTATTTAGGTGCTATTGTTTCGTAGACACACACACTTCAATGATACCAAGCTTGCTTTCCTACGTTGAATCACATGTTCGAATCTTCCCTAAGATGTACTCTCTATATCTGTTGGATATATCTGATGTAATTTTTTTTTTTTACATTCTGTAATTTCGTCTCTATCAAACTATTGTTGCTCATTCCTACTAGATCACTGTTTGAAATTTGAACAACAAAATTGACGTTGCTTTTTTTTTTTTTTGAATTGTTTTTTTTCTTTTTAATATTATTTTAGGGGTTAATTTTGCTAGATCGCGCAAAAGAGTGCTAAATGTTATTTATATTTGCTATAAGTTGTGTACAAATTTTCATCTGATCTGTTGTTTATATACAGAGTACAATGGATTTCTAGGCTTAACATTACTCGAGATGCCTTTTTCAACACCTTACTCAAGTGAACAATTCCAAAGTATGCCTTGGCTATTTATAAGGAGTGCTTCCTTGTGAATTTCACTCATCTTTCAATGTAGGACTTTTTCACAAAAAGACCCCACATGGAAAGAATGTTGAATTCAATCATTAGTTAAATAAACTAAGGAATAACAAAGTAATAAGTGTCACATGGTTAGGTGAGGACCACTTCCTCACTTGCTCTCCAAGGCAACTCATATGCATTGTGAGCTAACCATGTGGCACCCAACCTTAACCCTCAAGTTTGGTTCAGTTGGGCCGCTCCTTTTGACCCGCGTCCATGACCCGCCACCCAGGTCCTCGGCTCGTATTGTGAGCTAACCATGTAGCATCCAACCTTAACCCCCAAGTTGGGTTCGGTTGGGCCGCTCCTTTTGGGCCGCGTCCATGACCCGCCACCCAGGTCAGCGGCTCGTTGCCACATGGCATTGCCAACATGGCACGAATGCACGATGCCACGTGGCGTGCCGCCACCATGGTGCGCTGCCACTTGGTGGCTGCCGCCATGTGGCGCACTTCTATTTGGTGCGCTTCCCTAGCATTTCGCGCGACTAGGGTTTTTACTTGTTACTTGAAGTAGTTTCCCGTCTCGCCAATTCCTAAATTTTGGCTCGACTATTAAGATTCGGTTCCGACGCTGTAAGCTTGGAATCCGACGTCTTTGTTCACAACACTCGAGCGACTCATTAATTCCTCCCGAATTAATTCGTCGTGTTGGTTCATTAGTTGCTTGGGTGTGACTCGAAAGGTTCGGTCAAGATTAAGCTGTAATATTAATTATACATTAATATCACTTATCGGAAGCAGCCTCCACCTAGGCATTCCGATCACTTGACCTCACTGAATAATTAGCTTTCTAATAATTTCGAAACCTCTATCGGAATAATACACTTGTTCGAAAGACATCATTCCTATCAAGGGGGACATTCGCTCAAAATAATCCCAACCGGTCACTCAACCTATTATATCAAGTTAAAGTGACACAGGCCATCGCTCAATTTGTTGAAAAAATAAATAAACATAATAATAAAACTTGAAAAAAAAAAAATAAGAAAACTTCCACACACACACACACACAAAAAAAAAAAAAAAATGCGAACAACTACCATTTAAAATTTTCTTTTAAAAAAACTACTGCAAAGTCACAAAAACTTGAGTAGCACTACCACGTTTAATTTTCCGGCAAGAATTTCCGGTTGAGATAGCTTAGTTTATTAAATTTCAATTAATTGTGGTATAGAAAACAAGAGATTTCGATAGTAGAACACAATTATATGTCAATAATCATTAATTTTGCATTATAGTTTATTTAATTTCTCAATTAAATCTTAAAATTAGGGTTTATGGTAAAAAATTGTAATTTAGGGCTTTACTAAATTGGGGGATTTGGGGCAATTGAAGTGTATAATCCAATTAGGGGTTAATGCAGTCATTTAATATGAGTTTTTTAAGGGAAATTTTATAAAATATGCCCCCAAAACGGAGATTCTTGCCGGAAAAAATAAATGTGGTAGTGCTACTCAAACTTTTTGTGTTTTGTGATAGTTTTTTCAAAAGAAAATTTTAAATGGTAATTGTTCTCAAAAGTGGTCATTTAATTGGTAGTTGTTTGCAAAATTTCCAAAAAAAAAAAACAGCCACCGACCACCTTACCACCACCCTCTCCCCAGCCCGTCGCACATAGATCTACCTCCGGAGCCCCCAACCACCGCCACCAAACCTCCCCACACCGTCGTTGGCTTCAAGACCATCCTTCCCTCACTCTGGCGACGACACTTCTCTCCTCCTTCCCCTAAATCACCTAACCTCCGCCGCAACCCCAAACCCTAAAAACACCCAGCACAAATCCCCGAGGAAATACAAGTTTATCTGCATTGCGCTGAAAATGGGTAAAACCGCTATTTGAGGTAGCGATTTTACTCCGTGATAAACTAAATTTGTTTATCACGGAGATTGACTGGGGTAGCCTCCAAACCCTACAAATCGCCGGCCCCCCACCCTCGGGACCCTCGCACTAGGGTTCCGAGGGTGAGGGAGGGCCAATTTGGTGGTTTAATGCGCTGGGGGAAGGTTGTTTGGGGGTTTCAGGTTTTCGTTGAAATCGGTTTGGGTGGTGGGTCTTTGGGTAGGGGATTTCAGGTTACCGTTGAACACAATTTTGGTTTCTATCAGAGTTGGTGGCAGGCAGATCTGCCTGGGTGGGTTGGGGCTGCCAGAATGGTGGTGGCCGACCGATACGGTTGAGTGAAGGTTGGTTGTGGGAATTTTTTTTTTTTCTAAATTTTTTTTTCAACCTATAACGTGTCACTTAAAACTAAAAACAAAAACCCTCTGTCACTTGGGTTCATTAAAAGCAAGTGACCCCTAAAGTTTGGATTATTTAAAAATAATCTAAAGTTGGAATTATTTTGAGCAAACGACCAAAGTTGGAAATTATGTTTGTCAATTTTTCAAAAAAAAACAAAAAATGCATCTTTTCCGGTTTAGCAAACAAAATTTCAGTTGCTATATCATTTTTTTTTAGATTAGCAACCGACTTTTAGTCCTAAAAGTTAGCAACGGAAAAAAGCCATCCCTAATGTTTTTTCTCAAATTAATGGTGGGTCGCTTGACCCAACTTGTCTAATGTAGATCTGCTACTGATACCCAACAATCTTGCTTCACAAATATTACGATTAAATTTGACCTTCTGAATCTTTATACTTCTTGAGTTCTACATAACAACGTAATACACTCAATTCAATTCCATACATCCAATCTATACCTACTAAAAAAAATGAAGAGGGAGGGAATGGGATGGGGATGGGACAAGGGGTTACAAAACAACTTATATAGAGGTACAATTACTTAAAAAATAAAAAAATAAAAAAAAAACAATAGCCAGGCATCCTACAAATTGAAGACATTGCCTCGACTTCTAACCTGAACTAGATGCAGCTACCTTGCAGGCATCATCTGCTTCTGCATCATCTAAGCTTGGAGGTTTTGGAATCAGCCCAAGAACCTCGAACATGCTTTGATCAGCATCAAAGTCATTATTAGCAGTGGTTAGCAGCTTCTCACCAGTGAAGATGGAGTTTGCCCCAGCAAGAAAACACAAGGCTTGTTCAGGCACTGAGAATCGTATCCTCCCTGCTGATAGCCTCACCATTGCAGCTGGCATTACTATGCGAGCTGTTGCTATCATCCGAATCATCTCCCATATTTCAACAGGCTGAACACCGTGATGAATACATAAATAGATTGAATATTCAAATAGTTAACAATCTTGTGTTAAACATTTCTGAACTTATAATTGGATCATGCATTGTAATGAAAACCTTCATAAAAACACATTTTAAAGGGTTCAAAGGAACCATATGAGATGAAAAGGTAGGATTAGTTTAGCCACTTTCACAACTCATCATTATCAAATTATCATGGTAATCTTTTTTTTTTTTTAAGGTTGCCCACCCGGTTCACCTCCGGATCCGACTCGGGTAGCACACCTGACTTATGGTGGGTGAGTCTCCCAACAAAAAATTCTGCATACAGTGAGGCTCGAACCCGAGACCTCTTAAGCGACATAAAGTTGCTTACCACTTGAGCCAACTCTTGTTGGTTATCACGGTAATCTACTTTGTAATATTTCCTCTGTTTTTTTTAGTTGAAACCTTTCTAGTTTCTATTATCACGTTTGCCACCGCATGTTTTTAACGATTAATATCGTTAATTATCAACATTGTGAAATTATAAAAAGTGAATATTAATAAAATGTACATTGAAACGATTAAAACATGATCCCACATGAATATGTTTAACGTATCTATAAACCACAAAAGTAAGTCAAAGCGTGTTGTGTGAAGAGTGTAAAAGTCAAACGGTGTCAACTAAAAAAAAAAAAAAACGGAGGAAGTATATAACTATATAAGAGCTATCTGGGACACAACCAGATATCTTTACAAATTAGGCACCCAAGTTATCACATAGACACATAGTGATATATAAATGCACAAATTGAAAAAGAAATGAGCTCAAGACACAAATTATTATAGGGATTATTGGGGGAATAATATTACCTTCTGATCTTCAAGAGGAGTGCCTTTTACAGCGACAAGTGCATTAATTGGAACACTCTCTGGGTGCGAAGGCAAAGTAGCCAATGTATGTAACAAACCTACTCGATCCTCGGCTGTTTCTCCGAGTCCGATTATTCCTCCTGTAGCAAACAAATCTTTATATCAACCAGTTGAAAACGAGTAAAAGTATCACCAACTTGATGATGATAAATCCAAATATCCAATGTTTTGAGAAAACCAGGCAGCTGTAACTTAACAACTTAGTAATGGGTTACTTTTCTAATAATTCGTACTCCAATGTCGTAAAATAATGTCAACCACCTCATGTTTTTTGGTAGAAACTCACCACAGCAAACATTGATTCCTGCATCACGTACAAACTCAAGGGTTTGGAGTCGCTCATCATAAGATCGAGTTGTAATGATGTTTGGGTAATACTCTCTTGAGGTATCAAGATTATGATTATATGCGGTAAGACCTGCCTTCTTCAAATCCTCTGCTTGCTGTTTCTCCAGCATACCCAAGGTGCAGCAGACCTCCATGCCCATTTCCCTGTCAGAAAAGAAAGTTAGAAAATTTACATCTTGCCTGAAACTATTTCACTGAAGCAGCAAATCAAATTAATATGGAGTTTAATGATCTTTTTTAAGAACCCTCCACGTGATGTCAAACATAGACTCAATTAAATACAAGCGATAATTGAATATTAGTAGTTCAAATTTTATCTATCAAAGTAAAATACATTTGAAGCTATATCCATTGATTTGTTAATTGTTATCTGAATTAGCAAAACAGCTATATTATGGCATCATAATGTAAATTACTCCCTATGTGATACCATTTTAATTTTTTTATTCTTTCATAGGGAGATTGGGTAATATATCATTACCTAGCACATCAAATCAGAATTATAGATTATCATCACCTTATTTCTTTCACATAACCAAGAATTTGGTTGAAGTTAGTCTTCCTTCCTACTGTGTCCCTCCATGCAGCACCCATACAAAATCGTGTACTTCCAGCCTCCTTTGCCTGATAGTTTAGGAAAGAGACCAATAAAGATTTAAACGAAAAAATTGCACAAAGATGCATTTGGATTAACACTACTAAACATTTTCAGTAACTACCCAAAATATTATAGTCACTAACTGATCTTATCAGTGACAAATGAGCATAGTCAAAATTAAAGCACAAGAAATTTGTCACATATCTTCCACAAAGAAGAGCATTCCCACAGGAAAATATAATCATTAAACAGATTTCAACAGCTGCATAAGTTGACAACACATAGATTCAAATACATCTTTGTTTTGCAACCACAGCATGTTATATACATTAAAGAATCTCATAAGAATATGTATCCTATATGGTACATGGGCATGCAAACTTCCGAATTAATCTCCTTCTAAACATAATCCAAAGATGCATAGAAGAAAGATCATACAGTTCTTAGCAGTTACCACAGCCTACTCTCAAGGTCTCTCAAAATATACCATGTATGGTAAAAGTAGGATAGGATGAAAGCAACGTAACATATGTGCAGTTACTTAAAGAAGTGTGTTTTTGAATCAGCCAAATTGGCATTTAGTAATATAGTAATGCAGCAAAATCCGAATCTGAAGCCTACGAAAACCCATTGAAAGTCATAGTAGCTAACATTAAACAAAATTGATTGTGCTAATCAATTTGCTCCAGCTAATGAAATTCAATAATTCAAATTCTTAAGCCAGCTGAGCATTGGGATCCCAATAGTATTGCCATTGAGCCAGTGTTAGTTCCAAAAGATCAAATTACAATTGATATTGTAATAGTATAGTTTATCTTCAAGTGCAGTTTGGATAGTATAATCAGAGCATGATTTTGCAGTTGAAAGTAAAAAATTACATATACTTCTAGAATAAAGAATTCAATTATCAGTTGTTGAAATGTTAAAAAGGAACTCATGAAAGATGAAGAAATTCTCACCTTCTTTGCTGACTCTACGACTGCATCTTTATTCATCATTCTTTGCGCCTTCAATCCAGTACCATGTCGTGAAGATTGTGGGCAATATGAACAGTCCTCACTGCAGCCTCCAGTCTTAATGGAGAGAAGAGTGCATTGTTGAACTTCTCTGAAGTTGTGAGCATGTCTATGCACTTGTGCCTACAAAGAAAAGTCCCCATGACAAACTCATAACAATGTTTCTGTTTGGTGAAAGGCCAACGGATAAAGATCAGGCAGATGAGATTGGTTTGTTATATTACAATACACAATAACATAAACCACAGTTATTGGTGCAAACGTTGAGGAAATTATGTATGCCAACAAAGATTGCATATATAGAGGACACATATGTTTTGGCGAGCTAAAACAAATTTAACAACATATGTTGATTGAAACCTTTAGTAGCACCTCATCATTTTCGAGCCACTTTATCTCTGAGCCCATTCCTGATCCAATAAGGAGTATGGTTTGTTCATTCTACCTTCCTCGACTCATTTCGGAACAACCAGTTCATGGGTGGGCGGTCCAAGTCTTCCCACTTGGACTATTAAAAGATCCAGCACTTTGGGTTAAGAGGGTGTAGCATTAATGAGCACTCACTAGAAAATTTGTCTTAAATAATCAACCTGAATTCATGTTCTCACGACGAAATTCCAGTACAAAGCAAACAGCAGCTAATACAAACCAATAACGGCAACGAACAAAGTCATTCTTCGAAGCTCACTATAGCAACATTGTCGGTCATCCTATACCTTAAAGTTGGTCAAGAATGAATTAGAAATTCTCTGACCTTTCTAACCACAAGTACATGACTTGTACATCCCAGAATATTCAGTAACTGCAACTTAGCTACAAAATCTAAGGCATGTTACTGTTGCATAGAAATCATTATTTCCCTAAAAAAGGCAATACTTGTATATGATTGAAGATGCTTGATTCCCTTTATGTTCATGATTTTCCCAAAGAATAATTTAAATTAGCAAGTTAGACTAGCAGCTTATTCAACTATCTAAGTTTCAAATTTCCAATGCTAACAGCAAAATTCACAAATCAAATACTACTTCTTGTTTTTTGTAACAAAATCAAAACATTGTCTAAAACCCATTACTAATTCTATGCAAAAGCAAGAAAGAACCCAATATCATATTAAAAATACACCCAAAAAAACCCAACTTTTTCTAAACAAATATTGAGTTTTCCACAAAACAATTAATTAACATAATATGTACAAATTCAGGTAAAAAAAAAGCGAAGAAATATAGAAGAAAAAGTGGTAGAAATACCCCATGAAAGAGAAGGTCTAAAACAGGAGAATCATAGATAGATTGAATTTCAGGACGAGTCCAATCAAAACGAGGACCATCTTTAATAGTTCTTTCAGCTTGAATTGCTGCAGCAGACGATGATGAAGAGTACCAACAACAATGTAAGCCCACAATTTGGGGTTTAAGTGTGTTGCGTATGGATCTCACCCACAACATTGTTTTCTCCGCTTTTGATAATCCTTTGTTGAATGAAGGTGTTTTGCAATGATAAAAGTTTTGAACTTTGTGTTATACTAGTATGATGCAATGGAGTTTGATGTTTTTATACTTTTTATGTAATTTGGTCAATAAATTAACAATGGTGGAGTGAGATGAGATTGTTGAAGGAGAATTAAGTTTCGAGTAGAAGTAGGTGACTAGTGGGAGGATAAGTAGGTAGGGTTTTGAATTTTGATGGCGAGTTAACGGATTTTTCAATGTTCTATTGGGTCCTCCCTAGAGGCTAGAGCCTAGAGGCAGTCTTTACTCTAGCTTGACTCGATCAATACTAAGTAAAGCTCGGTTCAAGGGTTAGTTTATTTACAAATTTTTACCAGCACCATATTGCAGGGAACATTGCCTGCATCATTATCCTCCACGCGTGTTCAGTCCCCGCCCCTTTTATTTACGAATTTTCTACAAATTTATATAAAATGTTCATTTATATATTAGTAAATGTTCATTTGTGTATCATAAGAATTGAATATATGTTTTGAATTGAATTTTAAGAATTAATATATGTTTTGAATTAAATTTTAAGAATTTTCTATGAACAAAAATGAGAGCAAATTTATTTATAAGGATTACTGCATTCTAATCATTTTTATTATAAGAAGTATTGCATCATCTAATATTTATTTTTGTTTACCCGTGTTCCAACAGATGTTCATTTTTGTATTATCGAATGTTCATTTCAAGAGTTATGTATTAGTTTCATATTAAGATGTATGCAAATACATGCGTCTTGGATTTCTATTTTTTTAAATATAATATTGTTAACAAATAATTTCCAATATAATATTTTAATTTAATTACAATGATAACGCATTTTTGCACAACTATACTATTACATATAATTGTTCCATAAACATGAAATTGAACCAAACAAATAAATATAATCATATAATCAAATATATATCCTCCTTCTTGTAACTCTAATCATATGTATGTTTTCCATGAAAAATATAATCTGAGCGCAATATATATGTTGCCTTCAACCTCCTTACTTGATTAAATAAATAAATAAATAAATAAATAAATAAATAAATAAATAAATAATAATAATAATAATAATAACAACAACAACAACAACAACAACAACAACAACAACAACAACAACAACAACAACAACACATTTCAAACAAAAGTATGTGAAATCTAAGAATTCAAAATTGAACATTCACGCATGAATAACAAGTAGATTTCAGAGATGAACACACTATAAAGATATATAAAAAAAAAAAAAAAAACTTTCAATATAAGAGAATGAAAATGTATAAAATATAAATGAACATATATTGTATTCTAAATCAACATTTAAATCACTTCCATTAAACAAAATATGACAATAATCATTCACAAAACCAAATTTGAACACATTGCTAGAAAATGAACATTTATATTATCTAAATGAACATTAATCCTTCTACAAATTAACATAAAGTCAATTTAAAATGAACATTTACGGTAGAATAAATGTACTAGCCAAAATTCACCGAATAACAATTTAATTAAATTATAATATAATTATGGAAAATTCTTGTAACATAATATAATTATTATAATAAGAATCACTTCCATTATAAACTACAAACTCTAATTGAAATTCTTATTAGATATGTGAAGAATTCTAATGATTTATTAATAAGTAAACGATCATATACTAGTATATAAATGAACATTTACCAAAATAAAATGAACATTCATTAAAAAAAAAAAAAAAAAGTCAATTACGAACTAAATTTACATTTCTATAATTCTACGAAATAAATCAAATTATTCATTATATATATTTTAGGCCAATTGAACTCTATTTTTAATATTTTTTTTTTTGTCTAGTAATTGTATAGGCTAATAACACACACATCAAGTTAAATCAACTTAAAATAGAGTATATAAAACATCATTATACTATAATATTAAGAAATCATTATTACCAAGTAAAATTATAAGAAATCATGAACTACAACTATTGAAATTTCATATTATTGAAGAATAAGGCAAACAAAAAGTTAGGGTTTGATCTTTTTTAAAAAAAATAAACAAAATTATCAACTTACAATTTGATTGATGATCATTTTTTTGTAGAAATTTTCTTTGGTTTCTTAATTTTTTTTTCTTTTACAAGTAGAGATCTAAGAGTATTTTGATTTATTTTTCAAGAAATATTTAGAAGATTGTGGTAGTTTAGGAGAGAGAAAGTGGTAATTAAAATTATGAGGAGAGAGAAAGTGGTAAAATTATGAGGAGGGAGAAATTTCAAATGTTAGTAAAATTATGAAGAAAACTGATTTATAAGAGGAGAGAGAAAATGTAGGAAAATAAGGGGGGTGGGTGGTAGATATTATGGTAATTTAGTGGGGGTGGAGGGGGGTGTAGGTAATAACAAGTACTTTTTGTTTCGATTAAAAACAACTAAATTAAACTGAATCTAACTAATTAGAGTTGAATTGAAATGAACTACATTTAACTAATTGGAACTGAATTGAGTTGAAATAAATTGTTGATAAGAGAAGAAAATTAGGAACCAAACTGAATTGATTGGAGCTGAAATGAAATGAACTAAACTAAATTGACCTTATTGGAGCTAAACTGAACTGAACTGATTGGAGCTGAACATAATTGAGCTGATTTTAAGCCGAAACAAATATGCCCTAAGTTAGCTAGGCTCAATTTCAAACTCATCACGAGATTAGATGGATTTAGTTTTGAACGATCTAATACTCTCAAATTGAAAGTTCATGTGATTCTCTATTGTCATAAAATAACTCAATACTACAATTGTATATCTTTAGACATTTGCTTTCAGTAAATTTAAATTCAAGTTTGGGTTTTGATCGACTCAAGTTCAATTTCAAGCTCAAGTTCAATTTCAAGCTCAAATTTGTGTCGAACGTGAGCTTGATCATATTGTTTCATTAACTATAAATTTATATACAATGTAAGGGCTGAGCAAAACTACCCGAAAAATCGAACAACTGAAAAACGATCCGTAATCGTTCCGAAAATTAGGGCACCCGATTCGATAACCATAATGGTTCGGGTATCCGTTCCGATAATTTGTTATCAGGTTTGGTTATAGGTATCATTTTAAAATTAACGGTTACCCGATCCGATCCGATAAGTATTTTTTTTTTTTTTTGCTTTTTTTCCCTACTTAAATCTATTAATATAAATCTAAACTTTTACTTTACTTCATAATCACTTTATAATATCAATGATTAGTAATATTATTAATAATTTGGTCAAGATCATATGGTACTGTTTTTAATTAGTTGTAAATTATATCATAATAACTACATAATTAAATTTAATTATCATTATTGGATATCTTATTGGGTACTCGATAACTGATCCGAAAATCCGAGTATCCGAAATCCGGGTACCCGAACTTATGAGTTCCGGTTATGGGTATCACTTTTAGTGATTTTGGTTATCGGGTACCCGAACCGTTAGTACTAACGGTACAGGTACCCGTCCCATGCTCACCCCAATACAATGTACTATGTAATTGATTAGATCAATAGTCTTGTTAAATATACGAAGTAGATTACAAGTTATTGATGAAGATGTTGAATTAGTTTATATTTGTTTTAATTTTTGATGAAATTTATAAATTGAAATAACTATACTAACTATCAAACTTATATATTTAAAGTGTATTAATATTTCTTTGAAAGGATACGAATTGATGGAAAGGAGTGGTGAGTTTTAAAATTGAGAAATTAAAAAGTCGTTAAATATGTTAATACTTAATAAATTTATTTAAAAACTTTAAGGCTAATTAAAGTAGTATTACTCCCGCGAGCCCTTACTTATTATTATTTTTTGATGTCATGGAGTAAGGCAGTCGCTGCTCTTTGGTAAGTGACACTCGCGTTTTTCAATCCGAGTGGCATCATCGTGTAACAGTAAGTGTCCCATGGTGTTATGAAGGTTGTTTTCTCCATGTCTTCTTTTGCCATGAGAATTTGATTGTAACCTGCATACATGTCCATGAACGAGAGAAGTGCATGATTGGTTGTATTATCTACAAAAATGTCGATGTGTGGTAAAGGGAAGTCGTCCTTTGAACTTGCCTTATTGAGATCTTTGTAGTCAACCCACATTTTTACTCTACCATCCTTCTTAGGAACTGGTACCACATTGGCAACCCATTTTGAATACTTAGATACCTTAAAACCTGCATTTATTTGTTTTTGAACTTCTTCTTTTATTTGTTTCTCAGAGTAGGCAGGTGTAGACACCTAAAAATATCTCCCAAAAAACCAAGCCCGAAGATGAAGAACCTTTCACCGCCATTATTGGTCGGGTTGAGTATTTAATTTTGTAGTGTTTAAATCCATATTCAATCCTAATAAATTTCATAAACCAACCCAATTCCTAGCCCATTTCCCCAAACGGCTTAAAACTTGCATTTATTTGTTTTTGAACTTCTTCTTTTATATTAAGAGCTACGTCGGGTTTCTGAGAGTAGGCAGGTGTAGACACCTAAAAATATCTCACAAAAACCAATCCCGAAGATGAAGAACCTTTCACCGCCATTATTGGTCGGGTTGAGTATTTAATTTTGGAGTGCTTAAATCCATATTCAATCCCAATAAATTTCATAAACCAACCCGATTCCTAGGCCATTTCCCCAAACCATAACTTATTTTCCTCTTTTCGTGCCTTTAAACCCAACATAATTCATTTCGTGTCCCTTAAAATCATTCATATCATGTCCTTTTTTTTAAAAAAAAAACGTTAATACCAGTTTACTTTGGTCCATAATCTAGTTCCAATGATTAAATAGTTGGATAGGGTTTGAAAAGAGCTTTCCAATGATATATTATAAGCTCAAATCCGAGTTATAACGAATAAGTTATGGTCAAAATACTAAACTGAGCCTAAACTGAACCTAAGCCCACCTTACCTACGACCCAATGATCACGTGCAGGGTCCAAAGGATTTAATCCCCTTCCTAAAACAATTAGGATTAATTGGAATCTTATATAAGTTTCTAAAAGATCTTAATTATCCTTTATGAAAAGATAAGATTAAAGAATTTGAAATTGAATGAAACTCTTCCTTTTGAAAGTCCTAATGTTATTCAAATTGAAAGACGTTAAAAGATAGTCAAATATGATTTTCGTGCCTCATATTTTTTTTCTAAATCTTAAACGGTTCGATATCTCTTGAAATTATCTTTTCAATGATATATTATAATATTAATTCCCTGCTATAACGATAAAGATATAAAAG